CAGGGCACGTGAACACTCCTGGCTGCACATACCATTGGTAGCAAAAACCAAGGGCGTGAATGCACCTCTCTCCACATGTATTTCCCTCTGCAGGTATGCTCTCTTCTTCTGTTGCTCATTCCTGTTAGCCTGTTAGTTGTAGAGCGTCAGTACCGTCGGTCAGTGTCGTGCAATGTTGTCGCATGAGCTGATTGTTTAGTAACTGGTGGTGTTAGTGGACAGTATAGCGTAACTTGTAGTTCCTTGGTCTTTCTCTTTTGTATAAATTAAACCTTGGCTCTCCATATGAGTTAATAACAACAAGAGGGACAAACAAAACATGATGGCAAAGTTGTGAGCGTCGTAACTAGGGTCCAGCGGACAATGCATCCAAGATGGTCGTATAATGCTAACCATATTGCTTCAAAAACTGCCTTATAACAAAAAATGTTGAGCTGGCTAGCTGAGCCGCGCGGCCGCACGGGCACGAAACCGAAGGCGGCAAAAACAGTGTACGCTTTTTTTCAACAGCAAAGGTGTAACGCCGCGAACGCACGCTGTTCAAAAGTTCGCTCTCAAGCACTCGTGCAGTGTTTTCCTGCTGAGTGTTCACCAGCACCTTAGAGATAGGAGTTCTGACTTTCGCTTGCAGCTGGACAAAGAAACGAGCTCAGCCCTGAGTTGGTTGGTCTCAGAACTAAAAGAAATCAGCGATCGCTGCGATAGAAATAACAGAGACACCCATCATTGCTTCTTGGCGAGCGACTACATGTAAAGACGAACGAGAGTACAGGCACAGCAGTGGCCAAGCAAAAAATCAGCTCTTCTGCTCTACAAAGCGAAAACTACAAACTCGGCGACAAGTCACAGTTTTTTGAAATAGTCTCGCTCGCGCGATTCTCAGTCAAAATGATGCTGTAGCTGTGTTCACTGCATGCTGCTTCCACTGGATACACGACAAGTGCAGGTGACGCGACTTTTGTTTGTCACCACTTGGCCAAGTAACTACGCGTTGTCAAGAAGCTGTGACGTCAGACTTCGACGGCCTATTGCCACGGTGATTTTTATTTTGCACTCCGTTATCATTGCGGTAAATCCTAGTTTATACTATTCAAGACAATGAATCTCATTCTGTGAACTATGTGTTCCCAGACTTATTCACTGAATACATGTTCCATTCTTGAACCATGGTGCAGAATACATACGTATTTGTACTATATTTCTGCAATTGCAAATTGCACCAAATTGTTGTAATATCCTAAGTAAAGTAGGATAATACAATTATCAATGGTGGGTATGTGTCATATTTGTGGCCTGCATAGATTTTACTCAAAACTCTGAGGAAGATACACTTCAACAGGAAATAGAACAGCTTTTTCTTATTGAAAATGGTAAAATTTCATGTATCGACGCCTCTCCAAAAAACAACTCATGCGACGCCAAACATATCGGTCCCCCCCCCCCCCAATGTTTTGGACAATCAACATAAGCACTACCCAAGGGACAAATTCCCAAGTGTATATATATAAACTTTCCATGTTATTTAATTTTTGGAGTTTGGAGGTATGGGCCTTATTAATTTGCCACCTTGAAACGGCTACAAGAATGGCGAACGGACCTTATCTTTAGCTTCAATTTAGGAAAATTTAGGAGGAGTCTTGGTTTGAAATTTTGACAAAGTCTGCCTCCCGGCACCGGCGATCACCAGCGTACCAGACGACCTGAAGTCCTGCACTACTATCGCAGATTTCCGCGTCAAATTGGCTTATTTTGGCTAAAAGACAGCTTAACTCATTGTTGTGATTTGCTTTCAAGCAATGTGCATAATAAGTAAATTGATGTTGCTGTTTTTGTTTTGTTTTTTTGGCTTCCCGTTCTCGGAGCCTTCTATTCGGTTCTCTTTGTAGTTGAACTTCTGTACTGTTGAGCTATCCGAATTTAAATAAACACTAAAAAAAGCGTGAACGGTTCACAAACCACTTTTGATCAAAATTGTACGGGTTCGGCGCCGGGGCAGATCGCAAGAGTTAGCCACTGTCCGACTTTGCCGGCGGTCCCTTGCAATATTTCACTGTATGATTTTGTTACGACAACACTGGTTCACATAATCGCAATGCGCCGGGATAAGTTGCAAGAGGACCACTCCCGTTGACTCCCGGCGCGTACGGGCGATATGTGAACCAACCCTTTGAGCTTTGTCATCCAACGATTCTTCACCAAGGAGTGAATGCGATGCTTTTGCTCGAAAGCCCACTTCAAACGACGTTGATCCCCAATTTGTAATGATCTGAAAACATTTTAGTGTGTTGCAAATTATTTATGATAACGATCGCCGTGGGTCGATTTTTGTATTGCTGGTGGTGAGAGTGTTCAAATTGAGATGCACCTTGCTACATTGGCCTCTTCTTGTCCTTATTATTATTATTATTTTGCTTGTTCGCGTTGGCATCAACCTGCATAAAGCAGGTATATAGCCTTCGCTTAAGCTGCCATAAAAAAGAAAGTTCATCCTAAGCGAGAGGGCTAGAGGAAAATAATATAACGACAACGAGATACAGAATACAAAGAAATCCAATGAGTTCAACATACAATTCAAAACAAGAAAAAAAGGAAAGAAAAACAGAGCCGAATCTAGCGATTGATCCATCAATCGACAAAAGGGGACTAATCCGTTAATGTTGCAAAGTAGAAGCTGATTGTAGTTGCAGATCACCAGGCCAGGGCCAGCATATTGCCGATTCTGGATAGGTCTCCGCAGCATTTGATGTGGTAATTATCATAATGGTTGATAAATTGTTAGAGTATCTAGAGTATCTAGTATCTAGAGCATCTAGTGTGTTAAAATATCTAGTGAAATTGTATCCGTTATTATTGTTAAGAGTTAAGAGTATCTAGTGTAATTGTATAACTTCAGCCACTACATACAGCACACATTAGTTCCTTCCACTTTCGACGATCCTGGGCGAGCTGCCTCAGTGCAACTAGATCCTCGTGGGATGTGAGGGAGTTTGTGGATCTGGAATTTTTCAGGTCGTTGTTGATGGATCGCGGGAGGGTTGTTCTCGCGCGGCCTCGGAACCCTGAGCTTCCTGGCTGAAAGTATGCTGACATAGCCTGCTGGACCGGGGATGAGGTGTCTAGTCGAAGCATGCGGCCAAGCATTCTCCACCTAGCAGACTGGATGATTCTGGTGAGTGGCTTGGAGCCAGTGCGCTTGTACAGTGCTTCATTGCGTATTATACGGGGATATTTGACCCCTATGACTGCTCGTAACTGCTGGCGGTGGAACGAGTCAAGATTCTTTTCTTGAGTCTCTGTCAGGCTCCATGTTCCGCAGTTATAAAAAAGTATTGGCAGAATAAAGCTGCTGTATAATCTAATCCTATGCCTGCCCCAACAACGCAGTACGCTGACGATACTACTCTGCACAACCGAAATGACGATGAGGCGAAGGCTCTTGTTGCTGAATGTGAACCTATATTTAACGAAGACAACCTTAAGCTCAATACACAGAAAACTGAATATGTTGATGTTACAAGAAACAGCAACGAATGGAGATCAATCAAACTCCTGGGTTCTCTATTGGGCTCTGCAGAAGACGTGGACATGAGAATCTCAAAAACAAACAGGGCGTTTGGTTCGATTTCTTGGAGACGACATTCCTTTCAATCCCAACTGTGTATGTTTAACTGCCTCATAATGCCGATCCAAATTGGACATATGGCAACGGAGGAAGCTACGCGTACTGCTGCAGATTGTCTACCCGCAACGCATCACCAATAACAACTTATACACAGAAACAAAACAATCTCCAGTAGGTGCCACATGCGACGCAGGCTGCTGTGGTTTGGCCATGTGGTGCGAGAGGGTCCAGAATCCGCCTCGTTCCAAGCACTGGAGCTATCAATCAACACAAACGACATAAAAAAACCGTGGCCGGCCGCCATTGCGGTGGATAGATACGATTCGGCACGACTTGAAGGCAGCGGATCTCTCCGTGGAGAGCGCTCTCCAAGCTGCAGGAGATAGACTAACTTGGCTTGACACTGTTGACAGATGCGTCGACTCTGCTCCTGTCTAACAGGTTCAGGGAAGATGCGAGCTGTGTTTATTATTATTATTATTATTATTATTATTATTATTATTATTATTATTATTATTATTATTATTATTAATATAGCTATGAATAGGATGAATAATAGGATTATTATTATTATTAAGAAAGGGTTTGCTCCCCACACCGGAGCTCGCGCTATTCCGCCTATTCTCACCGTCCAGGAGCGACACTGACTCACGCTGCTATCTGGTGTTCACGAGGTGTTTGTCGCGCTGGAAACGGAGCGTCTCTGTAAGTTTGTATCCCTGGTGATGTTTGTGCCTGGAGAGCACTATATAAGTGGTGCTCTTCAGGCACAATCTTCCACAGCCTACTCAAGCTCAACTGATGAGGGGTGAATTCCCCGAAACACTGTGTATTGAGCAGGGAGTGGTGCTTTCTTGCAGGTTTGCCGAGTGGAAGGTTCGATGGACTTCTCGTGTGCTCTGGATGGCAGTCGTGAGTCAGTCAAGTGTCAAGTAAAGTCGGCGGTATAGCGCGAGCTCCGGTGTGGGGAGCAAACCCTTTCTTACAAGTCATCGCCGAAGTCGCAACCACTACTTCGTATTTTTATTACTATTATAATCTAATCCGAAGGGGTTCACGGGCATGGTTACGTCTTAGCCATATCACCCACAGCTGATGTAAGGCACATGTTTCTAGACGTTTTCTCCGACTAATATCTTCCTGCACTCCAAGCATCGATCCTAGTTTGACCGTGTTCCGCCATCGCTCGTTTACTCTGTCCTTTTCTCTTTTAATTGTGTCTTGTCCTGGTCTTAAAAAAAACAATGGATCAAGAAAATACATCACATACGGAGCTTTGAGCCGGTGATCTCATCACATTGCAAATGCCGACTATTCAGTTTAACAGATACGGAAAGTGTGAATGGCTGCACGGCATATTCCAAGATGGGTGACTTACAGAGTTATTGTTGTATTCGGTATTCCACCAGGCACCATTGTTAATCCGCGAGTGGAGCAATCTACAGTGTACCGAGGTGCACCATCACACGAACATGGCGCTGGACAACTCATCACTGTAGTACCGGTGAGTACATAGCAGCAGATGACCAATGACAGTACAGTGTCGATTGACATCTGTTAGAAACAGGACACGAAGATGTTGGCCGTAGCCATCATCACATTCGCTCTCATGTTATTGGGTTCTTGGCACTTCTTCTTGCAGATAAATACAAACAAACGAACAACAAACATGTTTAGCACCGCTGGATTTGTCACATAATCTTTACCCACATCTGGAAACCAGTGAGGCCAATAATGCTGACTGCGAGGGTATTAGTCCTAAGTTAATTCAGCGTAATGCATCACACAAGGAGCAAGATCACATTCCTCTCCACTAATCTAATAATAATAATAATAATGACAGTTCGCATTTCACTCATTGCATGAGGTCAACGCATCTGTTAACAATTTCGAGCCAAGCAGCTCTATCAGAAGCAGATTGCACAGCATCCAGAAGCGACAGATTAATGCATTGTAAGTCTTTCTTGACAACGTCGATCCATCTCAGACGTGGCCGTCCTCGGGGTCGTCGTATGTCTGTTGTGTTGATCGACATTAGGAGGGCTTGGAAAGAGGACGATTCTTCGCCTTCCCTCACTACATGGCCGAACCACAGCAGTCTCCGTTGCCTGCAGACTTGGGATAGTGGGGTCTGCTCGGTTCTGGCATACAGCGCTGTGTTCGAGATTCGTTGTGGGTACGTGATACCAATGATGGTACGTAGTTTCTTCCGGTGCCATACATTGACGACGTCGGTTAATGTTTGCGATAAGGTCCAAAGCGCACAATTATAATCTAACAGCACTAAAACATCCATGCCCTTGCCCTCTCTTTGAATGAAATCGCCAGAGACCACAACACGCTGACAAGAGCACCAGGGGACGAGAAATACGAGTCGTGAACTGATCCACGGCAGCAAATCAACAATGACGGCAACAGTAGCGCATGCTCTCTGAAGCCATTTATGTACGGAAAATGTACGCCGACTGAATTTGATCTCGACTCACCTCAAATTCCATAATTCTCCGGGCTACGACTTTAGTCTCCTTTTGACGATTTTTTCAATCTTGGGCTTCCTGGAAAGCTCGTCGCAAGAGGAGCCTACACTTGCCATCACGAATGTCAAAACTCTGGCGCTATATCCCAGTGTCTTAGTTGCCACGCCAATAATCCAACAGAAGTCGTCTTGCCATTTCGCTCTTAGCCTTGCCCGTAACAATTAATTACTTCAAAAAGTCCACAAACTGCCACTAGTCCGTATGCCATTTTGAACGTGTTTCACCGTCACTACTTGCCCAGAATGATGGGAAATCCCTCATTCAAATCTGCGCACGCGGCTATTGCGCGACATTCGCCGCGATTCGACTTTCAGGCTTCGTAACTCTGGAACCATACATCGGGGCGCTTCCACGATTGTTTCAATGGGCAGCTGGGAATATTCTTTTCGACCTACGTATACGAATTTTAGTTCTTGGAAATATAACAGGACTGGCTGAGTTACGACCAATTGAAATGTTGCACACAAAGGAGACTATTCATGGTATCATAAGGTGTAGGTTATTAGATCTAAAACTAATACAAGAAACACTGATATTCTAAAGATAGCACTATTGGAGGCGCGATCACATGAGCAGCAAGCAGTGTGCAATGTTTGTGACTACTCGTAGATCTGCTGTATTCAGGCATTTGGTGTCCAACCCCAATGTTTGCAATTGTATGATGATTCCTGCTTCAGTATGGCGTGCTATGCTAGTAGTTTTCGTCTACTCTCCGTATTAGAAGCCATGTTTACTCGTACTCGTGATCCAGATTTACGCAAACAGAAAGAATTCGTTACAGCTCTCACACTCTTCACTTAACATGCCAACACTCACATACCCACTCATGTACATGTGCCTTCCTCACCTGCATTTCTCTTTTCTCTACATTTACTTTCACTCTGCTCGATGCTCATGTAATCACACCTCCAATAGTGCTTGCTTTAGAATATCAGTGTTTCTTGTATTAGTTTTAGATCTAACAAAGGAGACTGTGACATTTGGACTACTTTAGGACAAAGAGCTTCCAAAACTTATTAAAACTCGGATGGTGAGCCAATTATAAATGTAGAAAGGAAGAGGACATATGGATACGAGTTAAGAGTAACTCTCCATCACTGTAACCAGATACTATATGCAGTCAGAAAGTGCAACAACTAGGCACAGTTGGACGGCTGTCGGTTAGCGCTACGGAAATGTGTTGAAGCTAGGTGTCAGGACGCCGAATGTCTCAGTACTTTGTCAGCTTTGTGCCTAGTTGTTGCACTTTCTGACTGTAGAGTATCTGGTTACGGTGATGTAGAGTTACTCTTAACTCGTATCCATATGTCCTCTTTCTTAAAACTTATTGTCGTTTATATTAAATGTTGCTGTTGAACTCGGATGATGAGCCAATTAAGTGTGAAAAAACTGTATAAGATCCGGTTACGTTGGTGGACAGTTAGTCATGACTCGTAACATTTTGTCCTTCTTCTTTTCACAATATTTGCTATTATTATGCATTCTCACTTTCTTTTGTTGGTGATACACATATGCAACGCGTATAATTCTCATACACTTGTTTTGTGGACACCTTTATGAGAAGTATCACACTTTGATATTTTAATACTGTCACTGTACCTTGCTACTCTAACTTGATTGCTATAATATTTCCTTTGTTCTTATTTTATTCTTTAGTACAACGGTGATTCCTGAAGAGTGTTGTACGAAAACATGTTCGAAACTTTTTTTTTTCCATCGCTTTTCTCCTTACCTTTTAGATCGTTTTTCGCACCGTCTCCAGAACTTAACATTGTTTAATAAAGTAGTCCAAATATCACTTAAGCTCGTCCTCCTTATTGCAATAATTATTGTCTCCACGTCGAATATTTAAAGGAGACTGTTTTAATTTTTCATCGAAAGTTCACGAAAAGATAGCAACCCATTCGTTTATTACGCTCCTGCTTGTAGCAGTTTAGCACTCTTGTGTGGGGTAGTGCCTTTGTCTTTTGCGTTCCTGACTTGTCAGTTTAAGCACTCTGACAAGTTACGTTCCGGCTTGATTTAAATCTGGCTTTAGAAACTATTTTTTCATTGCTACAAGGTTCGGGGTCATTTCCTCGGTGCTGCACTGATGATTCCACAAAGGACGAAACAGTTCTGTCCGCAGATTGAGTAACAATCCATTCATAAAGCCTTTTTATCAATTTTTGTTCGAAAGTACAAATAAGATATCACGAGGTTAGGGAGGGTTCCTCTCCAGAGATACAACGAGTAACATTTTCAAACTTCATCTCCACGTAATCAATGACCACACATCTATGCAAGAACGGAATTCATCGCTATGCTTTGGTGAATGCGGACCAAGAGCGCAGTGCGGAGAGGTGACGAATTTCAATTTATTTTCAAATGGCCGAGTTCGTCGCAACTTCTGAGTTATCTTCACCTTTGTATTTATATCATTATCTCATGGCACATCATGATGACGGCCAATAAAACTGAGACAAGGGTGAAAGCCAACCACAGCAGTAAAACAGATAAAAGAATACAAATAAAAGGCAAAGAAGGCAAAGGAGGAGACAAACCAGCAGGATATACATGAAACCTATAATTGAGCAGAGATTTTAGCAACAAAATTATCCATCGACGTGCTGGTCTTGGCCTGCGTTGGTAATGTTGCCCAAAACACATAGCCAGCAAAGATCGGGGATCTAGTGAATAGGGTGGAGGCAGCGCGTGGGAGACTGAGTGAGTTCCGGGTATTCCGTGTTTCGGAGAACCAATTATAAGCCTGCATATGCAAGGGTATTTTATTTAGTAATATTTTATGTATGAGAACACAGAGGTGGTACTTATGTCGAGTGGAAAGGGGACTGATCTTGGCAATTTCGTAAAGACTAGCGGAGGGAAAGCGACGATCTTTGCTAAATAAGATTTTAAGGAGCATGCGGTTATGGGTTTCTAGCTTGTTCAATACAGTAGTAGTTATGCCACACCAAGCAGTATCACAGTAGTCAAGTAAGGGCAATATATAGCAACGATAAAACAAGCGTTTGCAAGAAAGAGGAAGATGTCTACAGTGGGCTTGAAGAGCCCCAAGGATGGAGCTTGTGCGCTTGCAGACATACTGCACATGGGGTGACCACGACAATTTAGAGTCAATAATAACGCCAAGATGCTTATGCTCTTCAACAATATGAATAGCAACACTTGAAGAAGGAAAACAAAGTGGCAGGGAAGGGGGAGAAGGGGAAATGTACATAGCTGCCGTTTTATCAACGTTTGGCTGCAACTTCCAATCATGCATCCAGGTTATAACTTTCCCAATGCTATCTTGCATGGCTTCGTGCAGGCGTATAGGGCAAGCATTGGAGCAAAGCAGAGCTGTGTCGTCAGCGAAAAGGCTGACACCAGGGGCAATATCGGGGAGGTCATTAATATACAGGAGAAATAGCAGTGGCCCAAGGATTGAACCCTGGGGGACTCCAGAAGTAACGGGTAAAGGCTCCGATAACACAGTTGAGAGGCGTACAAGCTGATGTCGGTTAGAGAGATACGATGAGAGCCAGCCGATAGCCTTGCCATCAATGCGATATACTGTTCGCAGCTTAGCTAAGAGACCCCTGTGCCAAACAGTGTCGAAGGCCTTTGCGAGATCGAAGAAAACTAAACCAACATGGTTATGGGCGTTCCGGGCGGTGTGGATGTCTTGCACGAGGCGGGTAATCTGGTACCTGGTGGAGTCACCCCGACAAAAGCCCGACTGTGCTGGCGAAAGTGAAATGCGAACATGATCATAAATGATGTCATATACAACCCGTTCGCACACTTTTGATAAAGTAGAGAGCAATGAGATAGGGCGATAGTTGCTGGGGGTGGTGCGTGGTCCTCTATTTTTGTAGGTGGCCACGACTACCGCAGTTTTCCACATGGCTGGGAATTTCCCTTCACGAAATGACATATTCAAGATAATTGACACAGGATAGGCAACAGACGGAGCAAGAGCTCTCCAAACTTCGTTGGTAATTCCGTCTTGACCAGGGGACTTGCCAGTTTTCA